TATATATATATATATATATATATATATATATATATATATATAAGCACATTTCCTCTTTGAATAGCACATGCCTTTCAGCTAAACAGATTGAAGGAAACTGATCATTTTTTTTTCTTTTTGTAAATCTTTTATATATTGTCATAAAATATCTAGCGTAGCGTTTTCATGCATCCTTGTTTCAACTCTATCGGGCATTAATCTTGATTTATCTGTCTCTCAGAATAAATGAGTTCGAGGAAAGCTGATCCAAACACTTCTTTTTTCTTTTCTTTTTTTTTTACCGTTTTTCTTCATTCTTACCGATGTGTCCAGAAATCGGTATCATGTTTCTCCGTTCCAGGTCTGAAAGTATCGCACAACGAATTCGATATTCGAACATATCGAACATTTCTTTCTGCACTTCTTCTTGTGTTCTCCGCGTATAGCTCCAGGGCCACAGAGGGTCCGCCTTTTGGAGCGCCTTGAAACGGTTCCTTCTTATCTGTTTGCATCATCTAACCTGGGACGCCTTGAGACCGCAGATCCAGTATTTTTTTTCCAATGCGGACTGGCGAGCAGCCAATCAGAGTCTTGTTTACACTCCGTGAGTGACAATACGCTGGCAACGTGCCAACCAATCAAATCCTCCTCCAAATGCAGCCTTTTTTAAAAGCGTGCTCATAAACCCACACACGGGCTATTAGCGTTAAATAAACGAATGCAAAATAACATACAGTGCATGATTTATCTGTCTCTCAGAATAAATGAGTTCGAGGAAAGCTGATCCAAACACTTCTTTTTTCTTTTCTTTTTTTTTACCGTTTTTCTTCATTCTTACCGATGTGTCCAGAAATCGGTATCATGTTTCTCCGTTCCAGGTCTGAAAGTATCGCACAACGAATTCGATATTCGAACATATCGAACATTTCTTTCTGCACTTCTTCTTGTGTTCTCCGCGTATAGCTCCAGGGCCACAGAGGGTCCGCCTTTTGGAGCGCCTTGAAACGGTTCCTTCTTATCTGTTTTCATCATCTAACCTGGGACGCCTTGAGACCGCAGATCCAGTATTTTTTTTCCAATGCGGACTGGCGAGCAGCCAATCAGAGTCTTGTTTACACTCCGTGAGTGACAATACGCTGGCAACGTGCCAACCAATCAAATCCTCCTCCAAATGCAGCCTTTTTTAAAAGCGTGCTCATAAACCCACACACGGGCTATTAGCGTTAAATAAACGAATGCAAAATAACATACAGTGCAGTTGCAGTCATTTATATACTTAAGGTAGCCTATATATGAATCTGTCGCACTTAAAGAAGGCTGTACTAAATAGTGTTTGTTTTAATTTGTCACAAGTATGGTGTTTTTTTAATGAAAATACATTATACATACCTGCTGGATGTTATTAAAGACAGCGGCTGGTAATCTTCTCCAGGTCGGAACCCTGTGCTCGTTTGCAAAGGACTATTTAAGGTTTTAACACATTGTAACCTGTCTTTAGTATTTCGCTTGAATTTGCCGCTCGCCTCATTGCTCTCGCTCTCCACGGCGAATTCCTATTGGTCACAGATTTCGACCAATCAGAGCGCGGAGTGTCCCCAGGCGAGCGACGCCAGCTCATTATCATTCGTGAATCTGGCCAATCAGCGCGCGTGTTTACTCTCGCGGAGTTGAGAGGCAAGATCGGCGCCGGACAAGAGGATCGCCGCTCCGAGACCCGATTCGCGACTTCAGGGGCCTAGAGAAGCCCGAGACCGGCGAACGACCATTGCTGCAATCGTATGAGGGGAATTAGGACTGAGCCACTGAAATATGCTTTTTAGAATAAGCGGCATCATTGCTCTGAATGCGTTTCTTGATTTCTAATTAAAATTATTTATTGTTATGCAAGGATATATACATACCAGTAAGTAATTAATTTATTTTTTTTAATGTCATGGTTGTGTCGCCTAACGTCGAATAAAAACAAAAAAGACCTTCAAAGAAAATAATGTTAACTAAACAGCACAAACAATTATGGTGCAACATCCAAAGGGGAAATGGAAAGCCTATAAATATAAAATGATTAATAAATATATGCACTTAAGTGTAGCTACAGCCCGCATTTATTCGCTCCATTTAAAGATTCTTATTTGTATTTCTAAGGCATTTGTGTAATAAGTCATTTTGTGAAATTATTCTTTCTCAGTTAAAGCTTGTACGGCCTTGTTCAGTTTACTGCTCAAATTACCAGTGATATTTTCATGAATATATCTTACATGTTTAAAATTCCATATTGTAGTAGCCTATTTGCGCTTTTCTGCTCACTATTTATTATATCTATGAATTGTTTTTTTATTGTTCAATTTAAAATATTTTCTCTCTTTCTCAGTTAAAGCTTGTACGGCCTTGTTCAGTTTACTGCTCAAATTACCAGTGATATTTTCATGAATATATCTTACATGTTTAAAATTCCATATTGTAGTAGCCTATTTGCGCTTTTCTGCTCACTATTTATTATATCTATGAATTGTTTTTTTATTGTTCAATTTAAAATATTTTCTCTAAAGATATTGCATCGCAGTGCCAGATTTGAAACATGACAAGGAAAAAATAAAAGTGAAACGTGCACCATCCAAATTTCCAGTTGTCCTTTATTATCATATTCAGATCGGTGTTTTTCTTCGCTGGGCAATACTTATTTGTAATGATCAATTCTGATTTATTTCGGATCGGCATGAGACAGGCTCGTTTCACTGAAATTCGTCTCCCAGCCGAATAACATTACCGACAGACAAGCTATAAAAAAATAATGTTATTATCTTTGTGAGTTTCTGTCTTCTATGAACAAAAGATAGCCAGCTGACTCGTGCTTTTCGCTCACTTTGATATATAAAGACACATTGTCTAGCATTTCACTATATGCATTGTCATGCACGAGACAAAAGCAACTGCTATTTGCATCGGAATTATGCAAATATTTAACAACATTCACGATTCGGATGCCGATACAATGCATTTAAGTATTCAGTTGCATGCAAAAGCTGAGAAAACAAAGCATGCAGTGTGTGATTGAATGTTGTGTGCTCGAAATGGACGGCTGTTGTGGAGCTGCACGGTAATGGCTGACGGAGAGCAGCAGTCCTCACACGGAGGAGACAAAAGCTGCTTGCTGTAAGGCCACCTTGGTTTGTATGCATGGCCTGC